GATTATGTTTATCTCAACGAGGCTATGTTGAGAAAGTGCTGGAAAGGTTTGAGATGAGCAATGCAAAGCCTGTGAGCACTCCTTTGGCAAATCATTTTAAGCTTTCTTCAGAACGGTGTCCTAAGACAGATAAAAAAATGGAAGACATGGTTAAGGTTTCATATGTCAGTGCAGTTGGCTTCTTGATGTATGATGAATGTTTGTAGTTGTTAGAGAAGCATGGTGGGCCAACCCACAGTGGTGCAGGTGTAACTCCCAGATATTTTTCTCCTAAGAGGCTGGATATTCGCCAATGTGGAGATTTGTTATGGTATGACTCATATACCATATCGGGACAGACGCTGGATCGAAGCGGAGTGGAGCGGAGCGGAGCGAAGCAGAAGAATCTGTCCAAATTGGGAAGTTACGTGTGTTGGGGGTGCGGGGGCAAAGCCCCGCGGTATGGTACAGGGGTAATGTTGTAATTATATGTTGTGCCTAGGTTTACTCATGGGGTTATAAATAAGCATGATAGTAACCCCAGGAGGTATCCCTAAATTCTGTAAACCCTTTTCTGATTATTGAAAAGAACTCGTCGCTCTGCTCACCGAGGACGTAGTCAGGTATCACAAGATCAGAGAGTTGATTGCTTCTGGGGAGATACTGTTGTAGAAGGTTCCTACTGATGAGAATGCAGCTGATATGTTGACCAAGCCAGTTACTATCAACAAGTTCTTGCATTGCTTGGACTTGTTGAATGTTTGTAGTTGTTAGAGAAGCATGGTGGGCCAACCCACAGTGGTGCAGGTGTAACTCCCAGATATTTTTCTCCTAAGAGGCTGGATATTCGCCAATGTGGAGATTTGTTATGGTATGACTCATATACCATATCGGGACAGACGCTGGATCGAAGCGGAGTGGAGCGGAGCGGAGCGAAGCAGAAGAATCTGTCCAAATTGGGAAGTTACGTGTGTTGGGGGTGCGGGGGCAAAGCCCCGCGGTATGGTACAGGGGTAATGTTGTAATTATATGTTGTGCCTAGGTTTACTCATGGGGTTATAAATAAGCATGATAGTAACCCCAGGAGGTATCCCTAAATTCTGTAAACCCTTTTCTGATTATTGAAAAGAACTCGTCGCTCTGCTCACCGAGGACGTAGTCAGGTATCACAAGATCAGAGAGTTGATTGCATCTTTGCCGAACCTCGTTAAATCTCTGTGTTCTTCTGAATTTGTGTCGATTACTATTTTTCTTCGCCCTAATTTTCTCAACAGCTCTCATCATACTAGTTTGACAATAAATTTATATCATTTAAGCAATCTTTAACTCATGAAATATAATTTGTAGTTAAATAGAACATTTTGTCTAGCTCGTTGCGTTTTATCATGCTAAAAATAAGTCCGACTATATCCCAATAACACTAAGTTACTATACATTTAAATATATTATAACACTACTTTAATTTCTTATATTTATATCACTTAGAAGCTTTCATATCACATAAAAAATATCATAATTTTAATTTAAAAAAACATGGAACACACCTCTACATGCATAAGTAAATTGGCATTTATGAAAAAATTGAAGTTTGGTTTGAATGTAAATATATAGGAATTGAGTGGCATGTATATAAAACTTTCTTTATTTTAAAGATAATGCGAAAGATGTTATCCAAAAAAACCACAAGCATAAAATGTACATGTTTTTCTGTTTCTTTGGCGCCACATCAACAGCATATAATATTTTCATATTTCTTGTCTTAATATAAAATCATGCAGATTACATTATTATTAATTAAATATTTTCTCAAATTCCTGTATAAATTTTGTTTAAAGAACTCCAATAGATATGGAGTGGGCTTTTGGGTCTCAACGGCACCACCAAACGCTTATTTCACCAGTAATCATTGCTATAATCATCGTGGCACTGTTGCGTGCACTTAATCATTGCGTCAATCCGAAGTCATAAACAGTTTATATGCTTTCCTTATTCGCCCACACTTCCCTCGCCACACTTTCTCGGTTTGTAAGGGCTCTCACCCCCGCAGCTTGTACGGGTAAGCTCGTAAAAATTATCATTCTGCGTTTCATAATTACTGTCCAGTTTCTGCAATTGTTGTAAAAAGAGAAATTTACGTACACGCCTCTTAATTTTTATGTATTTATATATTTACAGTCCAGTTTCTGCTCGTAGTGTCAGTAGTCGGTTCATGAGTTTGAACTAAAAAATTAATTTTAAGAGGAGCTCATTGAAGAAGTCAGTGGTGACTAGAGAAGTAGGATAAAACGACTGGCTCGCCAGAAAATGCATCTAGAATAATAGAGATGAGCTTATTGAGTTGGTATGCACGCCAACAATCTAAGCCAGGATGAGTTCGGGCTCAAGCTCATTAAATTAATGGTCTCAATTTTAAACTTGAGCTCAAGCTTGTGATCCCGTTAACAGGCGGAGTTCGAGGAGGCTTGTGAGCCAGCTCTGCTCATTTACACCCCTTTCGTGCCATCATAATTCAGATCAATTCTCATTGCCAGTAAATTCTCCCTCCTCTTCTAAGATAGCAAAATTGGGCCTTCTGTGTTCCACACCCGCACATATTAAGGTATTTGGTAGCATTGTCTTAAAATTATTTAGGCATACATTTAAGGTAAATCCAACTAAACAAAAAAATAATAATAAATCAAACACCACGTTAAATCAAAATTTATGACTTTCTTTGTCTATTTCTCGATTCATTTTTTTCTTAAACTTAAATCCAAATTTACTAAATCCAATTACAAAATGAGTTTAAGAGTCTATTCGGTGCAGCTGCAACTTATAATAAGCTGTTGATAAGCAGCTACCGCAGGTAAGATGTCGCGCAACTGGTAATCCGAATAAAATGACTGATGTTTTGATTTGTATTGTTGAAAAACAACTATTTTGCACTTGTTTTTTTTATAAATGGTTATTCTATCTCTGTACAGTAAAGTTGTTTGTAACTGATATATCATAGCAATATATTTAACACTTGAGAAACAAAAATATATTTCAGAACATTAAAAAAAATAAGATATACACTTAACTTAACAGTTAATATCAAGTTTGCTAAAAAAAAAAATTAAAATTAAAATTACATTTAAGAATATGATAATATTTGTTTTAAAATGCAAACGTTGTTTGTCATGAGCTACGTTGTCCTCCATGTATACCATCCAACCCCGATCATTGTCAACAGTAGAATTTTTCTGACTGTCTGCCCATTGGAAGAAGCCCCACTTCTCCGTGATTCTCCATGAACACCTGTAGAACTGTTTTCCTGTTGCTATGTACCTGACTTGATGTCAGTAGAGAAGTTTGCAGTCCATAGTAATGGAACGATTGTCTGGAGGTCCCTGAAATCCCATAGCTCATCTGCCATGAATGATTCAAAAGACAATCAATTAATCATAACAAAAATATAATTTGACAAAAACAGTAATCAATTAGAGATTTGTGCGGATGCGATGTCTCAGAGAACTCAGTACAATAAGCCCACCAAACCCGTCACCCAAACATCAAAGAAATTGATCAAACCACATCACATATTTTTTTTATTTAAGACAATTACATTCAGGGCACCCAAAAACCTGCTGTTTACGAACGAGCACTCTCTGTAATCTATTTTCCGATTCCAAATCAAGCACGTAGTTTCATCTATACTTCCCATCAAAAAATCAAAAAATTGCATAGAGAAAGCTAGTGAATTCAGAAATCACATAAAGAATACTATTACATAAAAAAAGTCAGAAATCACATATAAAAAGATATTTTATTGAAAACTACTTACAAAACAAAATAACAAGAGATTACGGTTGTCAAAACAAACAAAATAACAAGAGATTACGGTTGTCAAAACAGCTCGTTGTTCGCGAACAACTCGTATTCAGATTGTTTACTAAGTTAACGAGTCAAACACGAACAACACGAATAAATTTTTGTTCATTCGTGTTCGGCTCGTTTTTGACTCGAAATACTACTAATCAATTATATATATATATATATAATGAGTTGTCTTTTTTTAAAAATTTAATTGACTACAAGGCTAAACAGATTTATAATCAGTTAAAAATAAAAAAATTTAATTGACTGCAAGGCTACAAAGATTTATAATCAATTAAAAATATCAATAAAAAAATAAAGTAAAAATTATTAGATTAGATTCAAATAATATTTTAAATCTTGCCCCAATCCTTAATATTTTATGACTACTTGATTAGAGTTGTCAAAACGATTCTTTATTCATGAATGGCTCCCGAATACAAACACACTTTTTGAACTCGAAATACACACCACCCAACCACCAACAAAGCCTTACACCCCTGCCAGAGATCGTGCCAGAGAGAGGAGGGAATGCGACCCTAAGCGCGAGAGAGGGGGGAGGGAGCAAACCGAGCGAGGAAGTACTAGGGCAAAAAATGGAAAAAATCAGTAGTACTGATTCATCAGTTCTCCAATGAGGGGGTGCCACGTAGGCACCACGGTGGGACCATTGCTTACGTGGCACCCCCTCATTGGAGTACTGATGCATCAGTACTCCTGAGGTAATATTTTTTCCAAAAAATGAGGTCGAAGATCGAAAGGGAATGCAGGTAATATACTGGGAAAAAAACTCGGGCTCGGGCATATCCCGCGGCCCATTTATTAATAAACCGTGGAGGTTTATTTGATTAAGCACATCGAACAGACCTCCGTGAGTTTTCAGAACACACCGCACCTAATATGCCGCCCAAACGGGCCCTAAGAGATTTACTTCATCATCGCTTACAAGCTTATCTCTCATACAGAATTTGAACCATTTAAAGTTACTAAATTCGATAAATTGTGTGTAAGAAAAAATCAGATTGTTTTCAAACGCCACCGCCCAAATCTGTCTACTTGATGCGGTGCTGTTCATTCGCTTCGGGCTTGTTGAATTTTGTCAGAACATCGAGGAATAAAAAAAGTTTATGAGGTAAACTTCTATCCTTTTCTCATAATTTTTTTAGTTACCGACAGTTTTATCTGTCTTTCATCTCCCCTCACCCAACTGGAGTAGTTAAAGTTTGTCAAGCTACCATAAAAGAGATCGCATCACTGAGCTTTGTAGTCGAAGGACAGCTCCGTGATGGAGATATCTCCGTTATTAGACTTGCGGAGTCGCTCTTCTTTTCTGTAGGACCGTGTCGCCGGCTAGGTTAAGTCGCCGCTGCATATTGCCATTTCGGGACGGCTTCCTCTGTTCTTTTTGATCAACTTAATCCCCCTCCGAAAAAAAAAAAAAAAACATCTTGTTTTGTACTGGGAGCCGGATTCGTAGGTTTCAAGCTTTCTATTTTTTTATCCTGCCTCCATAACCAACACTGTTATCCGTGTTCTTATTGATTATCTACAAGATGAAATAGAACAATCGTAAGCACTGTGTCAGCCTTGCTCTTTCTTTCGTGCAAACTGTCACCCTATTTCCTTTCCTGAAAAAGGCTTGTTGGTGAATGTTTATCGAGATATGTTTATTACTATAAAGTCATGACCATGCATGTTGATGGGACTTGTTTCTTGCTCGAAAGATGATTACTAATTCACGTTGTATCACCAATTTATCTTTTTAGGGACTTGCTTCTCAAGAGCTAACCCTGTGGGTTTGCAGAAATGGGAATTTTTTCTTTCATAAACTGGAGTGGCGGCAGTTCACTTAGATGCCTTTGTCTCTGGCTATTGCTTTTGATAGTATCACAGAATGTCAGCGCAGAAAGTTCATATTTGATTGGGTTGGGGAGCTATGACATTACAGGACCTGCAGCTGATGTTAATATGATGGGATATGCTAATATGGAGCAGATTGCATCTGGACTTCACTTCAGACTAAGAGCTCGTGCATTCATAGTTGCCGAGCCCGGTGCAAATCGAGTGGTTTTTGTGAACCTAGATGCATGCATGGCATCCCAAATTGTCACCATCAAAGTAATTGAGAGATTGAAATCCAGGTTCGTCTGATTGGCTGATCTTAGAAGCAGATCTTCACAATAGAGTTTGTATTTGCAGTTGCTTTACCATCCCACTGTTAGCTTAATGGCCTTTTTTATATACTCCCTTTCTTTATTTTTTCGGGAATTTATTCATTATCATCATGTTATTCACCCACCACATAGTATTCCTAAATTATTCTTCATTTTAACCACATAGCTTTTACTTTTGAAAGATCATAGCCTTGTCTATATGCTTATTCTTTTGTATAATAGATCTAAGGTACTTCGAATTATCACACTAATTATTACTTGATAATCCAACTATATTGGCTGTTAATCTTAATTTCAGGTCCTCTAAATTATATATCTTATAAATATATATTTTTTTACTGATGAACGTTCTTTATTATTCTAATGTTCCTCTATTATTCTAACTTTTAACTTCTTAGAAAATACTTTACCCATTAAAGCTACGCTACTCAAGGTACTCAATTTGAAGTTTTATACAGTTTTCTTTATAAACAACATAAATAGATGCAGAATTAATCATGATACTCGTTGAAATTCCTCTATGATAAAAATTCTGATCACTATATTGATATTTTAAAGCTAGTATCAGTTCTATCATATATATATTTCTTACAAGTTTGACATATATCTAGCACTAATCTTTTTTATTCTCATGATAGTCATTTTTGTCTTTTAATGTTCAGTAAAAATATGAAAAATTCTTGTTTTACGCTTTATAATCTTCTTAACGTGTCTCCTTAGATAAGAACAGCAATATTGATATCGCAAAGAGTGAAGTTATCTCGAAGAGATCCATTTCTTTAAGCACCTAAAATAATTATTGTCTCAGACCATTACTGTTATTTTAGTTTGGGTGTTCTATTTCTTTCTTAATTAATCAGCTAAGCTGTGAATATTCACAGCACTTCTACACAAAAATCATTGTTGATCTCATCTCGATCCCTGAAGCTATATTATTATGTGGCTTTTGTACATATTTGATAATATTTGATTTCATTGGGTTCACTTTCTCTTGACAGGTATGGTGGCTTATATAATGAAAAAAATGTAGCAATCAGTGGAATTCATACACATGCTGGACCCGGTGGTTATCTTCAATATGTTGTTTATCTTGTGACTTCACTAGGATTTGTTCAACAGTCATTTAATGTCATTGTTGATGGAATTGAGAAAGCCGTCATACAAGCCCATGAAAACTTGCGGCCTGGGTCAATATATATAAACAGCGGTATGATTTTCACAAATTTGCTGTGTATCTTTAATTGTGATCCTAAGTTTTAATGGTCTGAATTATTGGTTAATTATCTATTCGCTTGATCCTGCTTTGTTTGTTTTTTGTTTTTGACTTTAAGCCATCTTTTTTCCTCGCACAAGATGCACTATTGGCAGACTGCGTGCTGGTAATGGGAAAATCTTTTTCTGTTGCTGGTCTTTAATGCCATTGGATTTCATCTGTTTCTTTTGGCATTCAATTCTGATTGTTTGATGTTTTTGTTCTGTTGTCGTCTTATTTATAATTTTTTTTTTTCAAAAACCAAATTATATGTTGTCTTTAGAAATTTGATTTCAAACAACACTTTGTAAATATAATGGCCATGATTTGATCCTAAGCTAGATTCAATAGACATGCTAAATAAGAATAAGACATCCCAAAGAAGTTGGAAGGAAGCTTCTCAATTTCTATTTAAGCTTCTTTTTAACTTTATGGGCCTCCTTTGTTTTTTTCTTGATTTTATCCACGTTTTAATTTTGTCTGGAATTTCATCATTTTATCGTTCTAAGAACATATGTTTGCTCATTGCTCTGTATTTGTTGACACTCTCCGTGCTTAACATAGATGCTTTACTCATCAGGAGAGCTTCTTGATGCTGGTATTAACCGCAGTCCAAGTGCATATCTTAACAATCCTTCTGAAGAAAGAAAACAATACAAATATGACGTTGATAAGGAAATGACCCTACTGAAGTTTGTAGATGAAGAATGGGGTCCAGTTGGTAGTTTCAATTGGTTTGCTACTCATGGGACTTCTATGAGTCGCACAAATTCACTGATAAGCGGAGACAACAAGGGAGCTGCTGCACGTTTTATGGAGGACTGGTTTGAGAAAGTTCATGGAGAGGCAAATGGCATAAAATCTAAAGTTTCAAGTAATGATAGCCTAGAAAATGGATTTCCTCGTAAATTGTCCAGCATAACCTCCCAGTTGCATGAGAACTGTATATTTCAGCAACGCACTTGACTCATGTTCTTAAATTTTTGTTATAGATAATTTGTATGCCCTCTGTTTTAAAAGAATTTGTAACATTTGTTCTTTAGATTCCGCGATGAAGTTGATTGCTATGTCATTCCCAGCAAATAATGGTAGCGAAATACCTGAGAACTTTACTATGACAAGTCGGGTACGGAGTACCTTTGATCAGGGAGTTAAAGCAAAATTTGTTTCTGCTTTTTGTCAATCAAATTGCGGGGATGTAAGTCCAAATGTTCTTGGAGCTTACTGCATAGACACCGACTTACCATGTGATTTTAACCACAGTACTTGCAATGGAAAGAATGAACTGTGTTACAGCCGTGGTCCTGGGTAAAATTTTCCTGACTTGCTACTGTTTCCTAACTTTTTTCATGAGTTAATTTCTAACAATGAGCATTTGATATATCAGGTATCCAGATGAGTTTGAGAGTACACGCATCATTGGGGATAGACAATTTAAGAAAGCCGTGGATTTGTTCACGGAAGCATTGGAAAAGATCAATGGAAAAATTGAATATCGTCATACTTATTTGGATTTCTCAAATCTAAATGTCACAATTCCTTCCATTAAGGGTCAAGAAGTGGTCAGAACATGCCCTGCTTCCATGGGTTTTGGTTTTGCAGCTGGAACCACTGATGGTCCTGGAGCATTTGATTTTAGCCAAGGAGATGACAAGGTCAGTTAATTTGTTTTCATCATCAAGAACAACTGCTTGCCAAGCTTTGTTTATGATATGAGGTGCTGTTGATCAGGGAAATGCATTTTGGAGGCTGGTGAGAAACGTACTAAAAACACCTAGTAAAGAGCAAATTGATTGTCAACATCCAAAGCCAATTTTACTAGATACTGGTGATATGAAGGAGCCATATGATTGGGCAGTAAGCTTGTTTTTTGCTTAGACTTTTCTTCTCTTTTCTGTTTACTTGAATTCGTATAGATGATTTGCCACAACTAATTTGGCTTTTTATTTGGTGGACAAGTCCGATATTCAGACTTGTTTCCATGCTTGGTAAATTTTGCCACTATGAGGAGGATTTGGTGGATTGTGATTGTCTGGTCGAGGGCGAGAGGGTTTCCTAGCTTTTGCCTGGCTGGGATCAGGATTACTTGTTTTTGTAGTTAAGGTTTTGTGTTTTTTCTTTATTTTTCTTTAATGGCATGGAGCTGGAAAGTTGAGTTTAGAACTTGGCAGCTATTTTAATAATTACTGATACAAATACTTTACAGCTTGAATCTCATTTGTAAGTTGTCTGGACTTTAATTTGTGCATGATATCTAGTTGCTGATTCTGTGATTTGGGACTTGCATGGATTTATTGGTGCTGGCTGGTTGGCTTCAATCCTGCAAATAGTTTAGAAAAAAAGAGATTTATTTTGAAACGGTCCTCGATCAATAAATAACGGTGTTCATCCATCTCTTGTTCATTTGATGTAGCAATTGAAGTTGGGGCAGTCTGTTTTTATATGGCAGGAACATTTGGACCTATTTTGCTTTGGTCTTGTTTCTAGCACGATGGGCTGATATCATTCTGAGTACACTGTTTCTCTCATAATATATTTTTATGTGCTTTTTATCTTAACTTTAAGAGCTTGTTAAGACGTGCAAATCTTACTAAGGCATTTTTCATTAGTAATTATAAGCATATCATAATAGAAGTGATTGCAATATGTTTGTGTATTAATATTCTTGCTAATTGTTTCCTTCTTTTTTGTTTGATTTTTGTTTTTACAGCCTTCAATTCTTCCAATTCAAATAATTAGAATTGGACAATTTGTCATCCTTTGTGTCCCTGGAGGTATGCATATTATTGCTGCATTATTTTCTCTCTTTTACTCTCAACACGGCACTTGCATATTAATTTTAGTCCTGCATTTACTGAGCTTATCGTCTGAAATGCCCTTATTTGTGCTGAGATTTTCGCAATACTTCATTCATTTTCTCTTCAATCACTGTATTTTCTAACGGTTTCATGCAGCTGGTTTCTTTTTATGGTCCTAAGAGTTATTTTCTTTGTACGAGCAGACCACCTTAATAACGTTGGATTTTTCTTTTTCCCTTTCTATTGCTTCATTTTTTGCTCTATATATATGGTTTTTAATGTATACGGGCAAACTATCATTGATTTTAATTTTTATTTCAATCAAACGCCAAATTTTCTTTCAGAGTTTTCTACAATGGCTGGAAGGCGTCTTCGTTCAGCTATAAAAACAGTACTTACCAGCAGCAACTCTGGAGAGTTTGATGGCAATATGCATATTTTAATTGCTGGTCTGACGAACACATATTCTCAGTACGTTACTACATTTGAAGAGTATGAGATCCAAAGATATGAGGTATGCGTAAAATAACTCTGATTGTTTTCACCAATTTTGAACTATCATTAGGTACTAGCAGGATTATTCCTTTCTCATGTTGCTTCACATGCAACGACACTATTCATTAAAATATAAAATGTCGTATATGTTTCATAATGTTCAGAAACATCCTCCTCTTCAGGATTGGTTTCAGCAGAATCATTAAGTATCGGTTTAGAAATCCATTGTTACGATTCATCATGGTTAAGTGTTAGATTGGCTTTTTCAATTAGATCATTATAAACAACCATGCTAGTTTTTTCCTACCCCTTTTCGTCCTATAATTTACAATTTTGAGACCATATTAAATTGCTAATTACTTTTTGTAGTATGTACTCAACAGGGCTCAACATGGGTGTATGACCCCTTTGCGATGATACTATGTTTGAAGTATGATGGATAGATAGATAGATAGCCTATCCACTACCTATTGTAATAATAAAATAAAATAAAAAAAATTGAACTCGTGCGTCGGTTCAATGGAACCAATGACTCAATTCCTTTAATAGGAAGTAATAGATGGAGTGGCCATGGGATTGATCTCGCTACAAGTCAAACGAGCAAGATGACGTCCCATGCAGAACATAGACGTGAGGATGTGCGCTGATCAAACAAAGAATAAGAGAGACGATCACAGGCTAAAGGATGGCGATTGAGCGAAGAATAGCAAGATGGTTGCATTGTATGTGGTAAATCACGTGTCGGCATTGTGCAAAGCTGGTGTCAATGCCGCTTGTGCTGGAGATCTATCCTTTGTGTGTGAGGAAGGAGCTGTGTATTGGAGGAGGCCATTTGCAAAAAAGTGCTGGAACCGTGCATAAGAATCAATTTTGTTGGTAGGCGAGGGTTCTCTGCCAACCAAGCCGTGCGAAGGAAACGAAGGAAAAAGATGGCCTAGTTCGACATTAGATGCAATTTGTTCATTTGAGTGCAGGAAAAATGTTTACAGTCCAAACTGCGACGAGCTCTGTACAGTTTAGTGATGACGAGCCAAAATTATTATTAAGATTAGGGTTTATTTCTTTAATTTAGAAATAGCTTTTCGGTTTAATGTTTATTAATTTATAAAGATTTTACTAAATAATTTTAAAAATTGAATGTAAAAGGATCTTGACTTCGCAAGCCTTTACAAGAAAAGGTGCTTAAGGCAATGATGATCAAAGTACGAAAAAATGGCTGAAAATGAGTGTTTATTTTAATTTATTAAATAATTAAATTGATTTAAAATTTGTTAATTGTTAATATTTTATTTTTACTAAATAATGTCAAATTGTGATAATTGCAAAATATACAAATTGGGAGGTTGAACAAGATTTTTGTTTTTGTGAAAAAAAAACTTTGTGAGGTATGAATATTAAAATCTTAAGAAGTTTTATGTGGATGAAATTTTAAAAGACATATTTGTATAAGTATGGTATACTGTTAGACCAGTGCCTACTGCACCGTCTGCCTCTTGCCCCACTAAGTCAACGCCAAGCTTTTTAAATAGCTTAAAAACTTATATTATGCGTAAACAAAAAAGGGAAATTAAGTCATTTGTTAGTTATTATTGTGGGGTATAAATAAGACTTAATATGTTTAGGACTAGGTTTAGTATGCTATTATTGTCTAGAGACTTAGGAATTATGGTTTGGGAGAGATCGCCTACTTCTTGAATTCCAAGTGTTTATCTTTTATGTATTTTAGTTTGTACTGTTTTGTTTTGTACTAGTGGAATAAATTTTTTTTTTTTGCCATAGCCTCTCTGGAAACTTGTCACGTTCTGTCACGATCTTGTTCGGTGCTTATAATTAACTAAGGCGGGTACATCTATCGGACGACATTAACATCTAACTACCCACATTTTGAAAATTTCTTATACATATAAAAGAGCTACTAATTCACAAAGTGCAATAAAACCCAACACCTCCAGAAACAATAATATCCAAAGACAATATCTCAAGCCAGTATTAAACAATATATCAATATCTGAAAAAAAATACTAAAGAGAAACAATCATCATAAAAATATCTAGCAGTAGCAGTCCTCATCCGGTAAACTAAATCTCTCCTATCAGACATATCAACATTTAACTTTTCTTCACCTGATAGAAAACATTAATTGCAACCGTAACTATGACTTAATTAGTATTTATGATATAATTTGCATTAAATTATAATGCTTATGCTTTGCATGAAGGACCTAAAGAAAATACATCTCATTACTTTATAAATACATGAACTTTCACTTCAATTTTCTCCATTCCTGTTTCACTTTACGTATTTGTAATTTTAATCTCTTTAATAGTCATCACAAAATTATCGTCATACTCGAAGGTATCCTAAAAAATATGTCCAAAGACACCCTCAAATTGTTCCTAAGGTACCCTCAAATTGTACTCGAAAGTATACTTTTATCATTTCCTTTAACGTGCACAAATACATTGCAACTACCAGTATGATATGGGGGTAATCCTGTATGATATAATTATTTACTTGTCATTTAATTTTTTTTTTAAATTACTTCATTTTAAAGAGATTAAATATTTATTTTCTCTTTTCCCATTCATTTCCTTTAATTCTTACGCTACAACATACAATCTTAAAATAATTGTCTAAAGCATTAAATAAATTTTTTTATTTAATAACTTTAAATTTAATACATATAAGAAAATAATTAATCACCTTGACTTATAAGACCTCTGAAAATGCTTACCTTCACTTCACTTCCCTTAGCACTTTGATCTCTTTATCGACCTTTAATTCAATGGCTTGATAAATTCAAATCACTTGATATAAAATTAATACCACCTTTAATCAAAACTAATTTAGTACTTGGCTCATAAAATTTATAAATCTTTACCTCGTCCTTATTTGAAATCCTTGATTTCACTTCTTTCTCAATTCCCAAGAATTTATTAAGTCTTCGTTTCCCGATTCAATTAAACCACTATTAATACTTAATATCATATATGTTAGCACTTATTTTAACAATATATAATTAATTAACTTATTTAAAATTTAAACCTCTAACTTTTTTAACCCTTAGTTGGCTGCCATAATTCACACACGTGAGTATCGACTTTTGAGCCCTCCTACTTCACTTGAAGCTTGACTCTTCGATCAAACATACGAGCTTCTCCTCTCGACAGAGTCGCGTACTTCACCCTCCTCCTTCGGCTTCTTCTTCCACCGCACGCGAGCACATCTCTCCACTTTTTTGATCTCGGTGCAATCCAATAGAGCACCGCACGAAGCTGCCGCTTTCTCCAACCTCTCCAAACAAGGAATTGTTCCTACCATCACTAAACCCTTTCTTCTTCTTCGGTCTCGATTCTGACTTTACGCATGCCGCTCGATCGCAGTGTCGGCTTCAACAACTCTAAGCAACTCACAACAATCGGCGACGTTGACTCCTTTCTTCATTTAAGGAACAAAGTCGTCTTACGCACGAAATCGATGACTTCCCATTTCTTCTTCTTCTTCTTTCTCCTCTTCTTCCCTGCACCGAAGTTGCTCCTCTTCTCCAATGGTTTCTTCATCTCCTTTCTCTTTAAACTTCTTCCTTACTCAGCTAGGGAACAACCTCCTTCTCGATCTTTCTGCTCTCCCTCTTGTTCGCTCTTTTGTTTCGAATGAGAGGAAGTGTAGGAGCCTGAGTTAAGGTTTCTGCGAGGGGGTGCGACCTTCCTAACAGGTATTTATTTTACTTTATTTATTAGTATTATAATTATTTATTTATTTAATATCAGTTATTACAATCTCCCCTCATTGGAAACTATCTTCCTCGAATTTTGAGAGACCTCCCACACAACATCCTTCTTCAACCCATGCCTCCATAAAATCTTCATAAAAGGGATCTCTCTGTTCTGCAGCTTCTTCACATCATAATCCAAAATCTTTTCAGGCTGCTCAACATATGTCAAATCTGGCTGAATATTAATTGAGTCTGCTATCATCCTACTAGTTTCATCTGCAATATATTTTTTGAGTGAAGAAATGTGGAAAACATTATGCACTCTCTGCATATGTGCTGATAAAGTCAATCTGGAAGCCACTTTCCCAAGCCTCTCGACAATCTCAAAAGGACCGACAAATCAGGGGCTCAATTTTTCAGTCTTCTCAAATCATTGCACACATTTCAATGTATTGACCTTGATAAAAACAAACTCTCCAACTTCAAACATAGTAGGTCTGTGCTTGGCATCGTAATATTTCTTTTGTCTGTCCTGCACTACTCTCATTCTGTCTTTGATCATTCTAATCTTTTCAGTAGCATCATCAACCAAATCAACACCAATGATCTTTCTTTCACCTGTTTCAGCCCAACTTACAGGCGTCCTGCACTTCCACTAAAAGTATATGTGATTCCCAACCTCCACCAATGTCAAGAACACATAACCTTAGTAGATCCTTCAAGGTGATAATCCGCTCTGATTGACCATTAGTTTGAGGGTTAAATGTTGTACTGAAAGTCAGTCGAGTGCCCAAAGATTCAAGAACATTCTTCAACAATATGAAAGTAAACTTGCCATCTTTGTTAGAGACAAAAGACTTTGGCATCCCATCCTACCTCACAATTTGATCCACATATAATTTAGCTAGCTTTTCAACTAGATCTGCTATTTAATAGACAAGAAATGAGCAGATTTGTTCAGTTTATCGACAATTGCCCAAATAACATCATGACTCTTAACATGTTATTGACAAACTAATAACAAAATCCATTATAATCTTCTCTCATTTTCACTCAGGAATCAGTAAAGGCTGCAATTGACCTCCAGGACGCTGAAGTTCTGACTTCACTAGCTGACATGAAGGGCACTTGGCCACAAATTCTGTGACATTTCTCTTTAATTCTGGCCACCAAAATGCTTTTTTGAGATTCTGATACATTTTATTGCTCCCTGTGTGAATAGTCTGACTCTATAAATGTGCTTCTTCCATAATTTCCTTCCTTAGGTAATCAACATATGGAACATAAACTCTTCCTTTATATCT